CCACTTGAGAGATAAGAGTTGCTAGCTTATGTTTATTGAAGGATCTTGTCTTGACATTTTCTTTAATGTCACCTAAAATTTTATTTGTAGGATAATCTCTTTCCATCAGACGACGTAGTCCCTTGGGCTCTCTTTTCTCCTCATATTTCTTTCTTTCGATTTTATATGATCTAGCTTCATTTTATTCTTTTTCTTTCTCAAGCTCTTCTAAAACAGATTATGCATTTGCTTCTTTGGACGTTGTATTATTTAATTGTAATTTAATAAATTCATTGTCTAACTCTAACTTGTTAGAGTCAGGCTCAAGGTCATTGAATCTCACATGGACAACCTCTTTCACTCTAGACGTTCTAGAGTTATAAACTCTAAATTCCTTAGACGTTTCAGAGTATCTAAGCATAATTCCTTCATCACTCTTAGCGTCAAATTTTCCAAGATTATCTTTGACATTCAATATATAACATTGACAGCCAAAAAAGATGGAAATAAGATATATTGGGTCTTTTATCCTTGCATAATTCATATGGAGTTTTGCATAGGATAGGTTTAATAGGTTTAATGTTTTGAATATAACATGATGTATTAACTGCTTCAGCCCCAAAAGTGTTTGGGTGAATCAAAACCATTTACATTTGATCTGGTCATTTCCTGTAGAGATCTATTTTTCCTTTCAACAACCCAATTTTGTTGTGGTGCTCTTGAACTTGAGAAATTGTGTATGCTGCCAGAGTTTTCACAAAAGTTTTGAAACAATTCATTGTCAAACTCACCCTCATGGCCACTTCTAATTGAAACAATTTTATATCCTTTTTTCATTTTCAATTCTTTTTAAGACTTTACCAAAAGCCTCAAATGCTTTATCCTTATGAGTTAGGAATAAGACCCATGTCCACCTAATCTTTTCAAAGATTACACAAGTATTCTAACCATTTATGGTCACTACAAATCCACAACGGTATGTACAACAAGATATAGATGGATAACTCTCTATGAGAGTATGTTTTTAATTACAATAAATCTGTAAATCTTGATGATGTTTCACTCTCTTTTCACTTGAAAGTTTCAAACGATTTATGAATTATGAGCACAAAGATCAAAGCAAGAAAATATATTCACTTCGTTATCCTTCTTGTCTTCTTTTCATATGTCTGGCTATTTATAACTTTATTGAGATTTTTCCTATTCAATATTGAGTTGACTCCTGGTAGATTTGGTTGGTAGCCCCTTTAGCTTTTAAGTCAGACGTAGGTCTATTTTGCAATTGAACAGTCTTTTATCATAGATTTTCATTTATGCGCAGATTGTACGGTTTTTTAGAGCAAAAGTCTTCAATAGACACATTCCTAGAATGTTCTGTAATTCTCTGAAGGTCTTTATCCAACATGTGTTTTGGTTCAGATTTATCCAATATATATTTATGACCTACATATTGATCGAGGACAAAGCATACAAGCAAAATAAAACTTTACAGTAAATGCATTAATGAGCATTTAATATTTTTGAACATTTATAAATGTTAAGTATCATTGCTTGTTCAAACCATTTTTGTCATATGTCATGTCAATAAGAAATGCATCTTGCTTAGTGCAACGTTCAAATATTGAGAAATGATTTAAAGTGTTAGATACTTGTTAATGAAAGCATTATTGAAGTATAATATTTGGCATGCTTTTCATTAGACTTCTTCTTCTATAAGACGTTCTTATTGATGACATAATTAAAACTACGTCCTATTATTTAGAACTTATGTTCATTAGACAGTATACTCACTTTAGTTCTTTTTCTCTTAACACTGATTGGATACAAAGAGTGAAGATTTAGTGGTTTGTTTTCCTCAAGGATAGACATATTAATTTCAAGATTTAAGAACTTATCCTTAAGTTTTGCATTGGTTTAAATGAGATTATCATAAATAATCTTTGTAAAACTTGTTTCTTCTTATAGAAGGATTTTTTACACGGCTCCTTTACGAAAGTAATTCAGACACTTATGTGTGAGTATCTTAAGCATGGTGTCTTACTAAGTTTTTGTAGTCTTCTCCTACTAATCAGACGTTTCTACCATTTTTAATAGGTTTCGTCTAGGCTTATACGATATTTCTCAAGGTATTTATTGTTTCGTCACTTTTCATCAGATGCTTATTTGTGGGGTTCTAGATAGTGTTTAAATAATCTCACGATCTGTTCTCATTTTGAGCTAGTTTGTTTATACTTGTTTTTCATCTAGGTTTTCCTTGCCTAGACTCAATTAGTCCTAGTGAATGTTTCCTCAGACGATGTTCTTTCTAAGGACATTAAGTATATTTATTAAAATTCAAAACTTTGAGGATAGTCTAGTCTTTTTAAACAATCTTGTCTTAAAAATAATGATATTTAATATTCAATTAGATGAACAAATTTGTCTGATTTTAAACAAAAGTAGAAGAGAAAATAGAAAATTGTTTTAGAAAGATAGTGATATTTATAAAATAAAACTTAATAATCATTTTTTCTGTATTTGTCTCTTTAAAAATAAAATATCAAAACTTTACTAACAAAGTCACTCTCCTCTAAACTATTTTTTAATCTTTACATGTAAAACATTAAAGAAATTAACAAACAAATTATACTATTTAAATATAGTTTTTTAGACATATTAAATACCGTTTTTATTTACTTAAAATAATGAAAAATATAAAATCTTGAGAGATAAAAGTGCTCAAAATTTTATTATTTTTTATAATTTGTAATGAATACTTCTTCAATACTCAAATATGAATAAAAACATCTCATACACAGTAGTTATTAAGGTTAGCTAATTTCATTTATTCATTCAATTTAATAAAAAAAATACATTTTTTAAATTCTTATTTTAATAAACGTCAATTTAGAAATAATGTTAGAGTATTGAGGAAAATTAATGTTAGAGTATACTTGAAATAATTAACTTGATGACAATCCAGTGTATCAAATTTGAATATGTTTTGAGAGAGATATTTGAGTATTGAGGAAAAAGAAGTGTATGAGATGAAGAATAATAGAGTGTGTTACATCTCATAGCTAGTTAAATCCAATACAAGTTATTGTTTTGGTAATAAAAACACCATGCTTAACATATGACTAAGGTTGACTAAATAAAAGGCAAAACAAAAAGCTATGAAACACCTCGAATTTCAAGGTTTCATCCAGCTGCAGGTTGAACTTGATCCAGCTAACTTAATTGGGAAATAGACATCATTCATGGTTGTTCAAAAGCAACTAATCATGAGCAGTAGCAGTAGTGCCATTCATCATCACAAATTTGACCAATTTGAGATACAACAGCTAAGTCTTATCTCATAAAATGAATTCAATTAACTAATTATATTTACTATATGATGCCATTTGGGATATCATCTTGTAGAGACCCAGATCATCCTCAAGACTATAGGACATTCTCTTTAATTAGGATCTCCAATTTTTCTTTTTGTTTTAACTTCACTTAAGCATTTCTTTAATTTTTGTAGTTTCCCAAAACATTCTGACAACAAAATTAATAAGATATAAGATAATAATGTCAATTTATTTGTAATATTTTCGTGATTTTTTTTATCTAAATATACGTAGATGAATTTGATTTATTTGTCTTAATAATTTATTAATGTTTGATTTTGTAATCATACTGTATCAATGGTTAAGTCAAAAGTTTAGAAATATTCACTAATACAGAAGATATATGACAATAATTATTTTTAACAATTGATATCGATTCTATAACAAAACACTGAATAAAAAATAAACGAGGGTTTTTCGCCTTTGATTATAAATCAAAGTATAAATATTCATATTTTGCTTCCGTCAAAAGAAAATTAAAACACTAAATAAAATATAAAAAATAAAAAAGAAATAAATTTTTGATCTCAGTTAAGCTAATAACTAAGATTATATACTTTATCTCATTTAAAATAATTATTTAATTTTAAAGGTATTAGATTTCGGTTATACCAAAATTGAAATCATATATCTTTTTTTCATCGATTTTAGTAATAATCGAGACAAAAGTTGTTTATTTTTATGATATTTAGTTTCGATTATGAACACAAATCGGATACTTCTTTTTGTTTTGGTTTTGATTATAACCAAAACCTAAAATTGATTTATTTCAACCTACACATACAACCTGTATATAAAACCCAACACAATCCAGCATAGAAACAAAAACATATTATGATTTTCATACAAAAACATACTTATTAAGCCAAAATCTAAATAATTATATAAATTGTGATACCCTAAAAACTACATGTTTTTGTACATTTCTATTATATTATTTTGCACAAGTTTTTCTTAAGTAATAAATGGACTTATCGGGAATTGGTGTAGGACTCTTAAATTTTTGCACAAAAGACAATGATTTTAATTAGTGTATAAAAAGATAATGGAGAAAAATATTTGATTCAATGTTATTATTACCGTTTTCCAAGTACTTGTAATACGAGTTTGAATAATAATAGTTGTCATCCAATGCATCACATAGTAACCACCCTCATATGAGTCGGTTTGTCTATTACACTACTATATATCATCATAATTATAAATAATTGAAGAAAATCGTTGGAATAAACAATTATAAATGTATGGACCAAAATATCCAACCTTAACAATCATGCAAACTTTCTTGTAACATCCTATTTTAGTAATATAAAATCACTAAAATAAGAGCTACGAGGAATAGGGGTGGGCAAACTGCCCTATAGTGCACTGCACTATAAAAGTTTATAGTTAACTATAAACTACTTCAAAAAAACTGCACTGAACTAAAAAATAGTTCAGAGTAACTGAACTGGACTATTTTTTAGTTTAGAGTAACTAAACTACACTAAAAACTCTAATACAATATCACATGAATTCTTCTCCCTTGCTAGTGACTTTAAATATCCCTTCCCAATGCCCATTTGTTGACATCACATTCATCTGAAATGAATTTCACTAATATAAAAATCCAGTAATCACACTCCAGAACAGGAAAAAAAGTCACCAAACTTCCAAAATCAGAAAATCAATTTCTTCAGAAAGAACATTTACAAAGCCAATGAAAGACACAATAATTAAAAGCATAGCAGAAGTGATAAAACATATCTAACACGCTGAATAACATCACGTCTTTACAAACTCAAGAACTCATCCTAAACATAGAAAAATCGCATCAATCTCATTTTATTTTCTCTCAAGTACATTAAACAACCTGTCCTTGAAATCACCATGGATCAAGCCAACACCATGTGAAGTTTCAGCCATGTATAAAATTTCAATAGTGTAATAAATGGATAACACTTCTTCCATGGATTTTCCTAAGACCAGATATGAGTTCACCACATCCTGCATAGTATTTTCAGTTGAAGATTAATACCAAATGACATTGAAGTAAATAAGGAAAATCAAAGGAAATAAATAATGGACCTGTAGTGTCCCATTAGTTAAATAGTCACAGATGAGTATACTTCCGTGAGAGTAACCATAACTTGACCTCTGATAAAGCAAAAGTAAGAATTATCAAATGCTTATAGAAAAAGTGGTTCAAAATTATTCATCTTTCCAGGACAATAAGAGTGACTTTTACTCTTTAGGAACAAATGTCACCTGACTCCAAGTTTTCCAAGAACCAAAATTTTGTTTTATTACAATTCTGAACATCAAAACCAATTCCCTTCAGATTTCATTCAAAACTATGATTTATTTTGCCTCTAGAAAACAGAGTAACCTAACCATCCAAGTTCACACAGCCTATTGCTTACTATTATGGAAATATCATTTTAATTACAAAATTATAATGTTAAAATATCATTTTCCCTATAAACAAGTGGCAAATTCTTGTGACCTATACAACTAACAACAATAGAAAAGAATTTTGCACAACAGTTTAACTTCATCCATTATTCAAGGGTTGAAAGATGAAGTAGTTAAAAATCCAAAAGGAAATAGAAGCTAAAGATTCATAGGTTATGAAATTCAAGATTGAGTTCTTTAACTCTTGAGAATGATGATTTTAGGAGTAAATATATGATGCTATGAAGAAGAAATACAATGACCTAAAGCTCACTACAAAAAGGAAGGTTGCTTTGGACTCTAATGTTTTATCTTGATTGAATTACAAATAACTAATTCTCTTGTTTCTATTCATTCAAATTGCTTAATTACTGGAAAAGAAGTTAGCTCAGATCATGATAATAATGATGATACAAATAAAATCAAATATCTACACCCGATTGAAAACCAAATAAAATCAAAGTGAAAATGAAATTGAAAACAAAAACTAAATAAAATCAATGAAAATTGAAGAAACCCTACCTGATCGTAGGCGATTGAGAAACGAATGTCAGATAAGAACAAATCAACAATTAAACAAATAAAATCTACCCTTATCCAAAAAAAAAACAAATAAAATCAAATCTTCTTAAATATCTCCCACAAAATCCAAAAGAAAATCAACTGTTACCCCCACTGGATCATCCAGATGAATAGACCTCAAGTACATCGCTTTCCAATCTTATTTATCCTTTTTGAAAGGGAAAAGGGAAAAGATTTGTACCTTTAGGTTGCAGAGTGTTATGCCTTTGCTTCTCTTTCCAAATGTTCTCAAAACCTTCGACGATGGTGGTAGAGCCTTCGACAGTTCGGCTACGGCTGAGTGTGGCAAAGCCTTCGACGGCGGCGAGCCTTCGACGGCGGCGAGCCTTCGACGGCGGCGAGCCTTCGACGGCGGTGAGCCTTCAAGGGCGGTGAGCCTTCAAGGGCGGCGAGGCTTCAACATTAGCGAGCCTTTGACATAGTGAGAATGGAATGTAACGAGACAGGGAATAGGAAACCTAAACCACAGTTAACTAGTTAACTGTAGTACAAACAGTTAACTGCATAAAGTTCAATTTTTTTAAACTGAACTAAAGAATAGGTTAATTATTTTAAGTATACTTTAGTTTAGTTTTTTTTTTCTTCAGTATAATAGAGTATAGATAACTATAGTTTAATACAGTTCAGTAAATTTTTCCCAGCCCTAACTAGGAATAAAACATACAACAAACTTGAGATTTCAAGAGAAGAAAAATCTACACCTGAAATACAAAAGAATCTATTTATAATGTTGTGTAACCACCAATTCATACGTTGAGACAACTGGAAAGAAGACCTCCCTAAGCTCACACCCATTAAGGTGATCATCGCAAAAGAGAAAGCACACAAACAAACAAAAACAAAAACAAAAGCTAGGGTAAGCTAATGATAAAACAGTTTAACATGGTAAAAATAAAATTCAACATACAATTTTAATCACACAATTAGTAGAACATCTTCTCCCATTCACACATATCAAAAGATCTTTCCCATTCACACCACTGACTTGGACTTGGCCAAACCCTTTACAATATAGTATAAATGTTGAGCCATGGAAAGTTCTGCACCTGTGTAGTGAAACAGTTGACTCCCTCAAAGCTATCACACAAGGTTAGTCCTTAAAACGCCCTTTAGAACCATGAAGAAAGGGCCCCAGGCTAGGACCTCCTGCTCCTCTCACGACATGACTCATCACTCTCTAATTGAGCATGGATGATCATTAGAGTGTCAGGATAACCCCATATCGGCTTCTTACAATTTATACTATTTATACACATGAATCCCCTGATAAGATATTCCTCCATGGAATTCTCTTTTTCCAACCGTGAAAACCATTTGAAATCATACATATGTCCATACACTTTCACATTCGAATAATACACTAATACATGAGAATATTGATCATACATTAAAGAAATATAAACTATCATACAAGTCATCAGAAATCACCCAATAACACAATTTATTCATGGCATAATGATACTCATATTTAGGTAAGGAAAACAACTCTGAAACCCTCACCAACAGATCTGAAAGGGTCCAAAACCCCAAAAACGACCTAAAGAACCTCAAAAACTGATAACCAGAACCCCAAATTTGAGATCCTAAAAACTGAAAAAAATCAAATTTTGCTGAGTTGCGCCCAGTGCCCCAAAAAGGGGCACCCGAGCGCCAGACCCCTAGAACAAGGACGCTCAGGGGGCGCCCAAGGGAATTTTTCTCGCAAAAACGCCTAGGGGCCCCTTGGAGGGCGCCCAACGCTGCACCAGGTTCTCAAATTCACCCATTTTGTCTTTGGTGACCCTCTATACAAGTTTAAATGATTCCTAAACACTCTTAGGCACTAAGAAACATATAAAAACATACCTCTTACTTGAATTGACCACTACAAACCTAAATTAACCTATGAAAACCCAAAATTCACTCCGATAAGCTACCTAAACTCTACCTCTTATACCACCCATGTTACTGATTTTGCTGCACAACCAATTTTATATTAACTCAATAATACACTATAATCCAACTCTCACTCCACATAACTCCCCCTTTTTAAATTCACCACCAACACCCTCTTAATGGACTTAAATTCATTTCAACCAAGCCTCACCAACAGTTTTCTGCATAATAAACTAGATTTTACTGGTTTAATCCCTCTCACAAGTCCAAATGGACTTTAAAACAACCCCAAACATCCCTTTTCCCAACCCACTGCTTACTCACAAATCCACCTACCAAAACCCTAAATTTTCACTCCAAATAAGTAGTAATTACACTCAGAGTCTTCCTTTCAACTTAACATCATAAATTTCTTCATTTAAGTATATTAATCAGACACAATTACCCTATAACACTTACCAAACTACAGGTTCCACATTCTACTCATTATTTCAAGAATCGACATACCAACACTCATCACTTTAAAACCAAATTAGTACTTCAATCTATTATTTTCACAACCATCAATATTCATACAATTTTTGCATCAACAACATATTCATTTCATCATACAATAAATCACACAATTCATACATTCAAAAATCTAAACCTTTCATCATAACGTACACTAATCAATATTTACTCAATTTAGAACATTTATACTATCATATAACCATACAACCCATCAATAAAAGATTTCAAACCTCCTATTACATATACAAAAGACAAATTAACTTCCCTTACCTTTGTTAGAATTACTACATCTCTCTAACCCCCGATCGTTACTTCCACCACAAGGAAAAATCTTAGAGAAACCTACAAATTGCCAATTGATGATTGGAAATAGACCTTAGAATTTCAAATTGACAAAGAACTTCGTAGAGATCTCCTAAGAACTTCCTGAATCGTCGAATAGATGATCAAGGAGTAAGAAAACTTAGAGAGAATGTATAGAGAGTTTAGAGAACGAGTTTTAGAAAGATGAACTGTGTTTTAAGTAATGAGAATGTATGAAATTCTATTTATATTATCGATTCATTTTAATATAAAATAATCGGTCTCGTTATTTTAAAACATCTTTCAACTCTAATACTTTATTTTTTAAGTTCTTACATTTTAAGTCTTAACAGTTGATTTCAATAACAACATCATATGTTCTGCCATTAAATTATAAAAAATAAATAGAATGTTTTAGGATAGAATTATATAACAAAAACTTTTTATAATAAGATATTAGATAGTAATTTGGTTTATTGAATTTTGGGTTAAATATGTTTTTAGTCCCCAAAATATTGGCCGTTTCTGGTTTTCGTCCCTGTTTCAAAGTAAGGTACAATTTGGTCCTCATTTTTTTCGAAAATGTTCGTTTTAGTCCTCGAAAACTAAACACTGTTTAAAAATTTGGTTCTCATTTAGCAACAAATGAGAACTAAAACCAAAATTCCGATGACTAAAACGAACATTTCGAAAAGAATGAGGACCAAATTGTACCTTACTTTGAAAGAGGGACGAAAACCAAAAACAACCAATAGTTTAGGGACTAAAAACATATTTAATTCTTGAATTTTTATTGAGCACTCTAAAACAAAAAGCCAAACGCTTATACCTAGGTTGTCGTGTTGGACATGGCTGCATTTAACCAAACGCTTATACCTAGGTAGTCTCGTGTATTCATTCGGGCAAGATAATATACTTTTTATTTATTGAGTTTTTGTACGATGGGATTTGTAACTTTATTCGATATTGTTATTTTTAATTGCTCAAATGATTTGATAAAATTAGGAATGATAAAAATATAATATTATTTTATTTGAATTGATTATCAGAAAAAAATTAAATTAAAATAAATTTAATTTATATTTTATTAAGTTATATTTAATTAAAATTAAAATTAATTTTTATTTTATAAAATTAAATTTAATTAAAAATAAATTTTAATTTTATTTATATTATATTTTATATTTTTTAATTTTATTTTAAAATTTTATAAAATATATTTTTTCTAAATATCCGTAAGTATCGAGAATTTTAAAATAATTTAATAAAGGCTTCATTTTTTTACTTGTAACGTGCCAACAAAGAAATTGAATAAAAACATCTTCAAACATCAATGAACTAATTTTTCTACTTAACTTTTTTAAGGGCACAAACATAGAAGGAATGTGGACTACCAACAATCTCAAAACATCATCTTTTAAATATATGACATTATTGGTTGTAAATAATAACGATAAATAGTTTATGAATTTGTGTGTATCAGACATTTTATAACCATTTTATCTCATTGAAAATTACTTAATAATGCCAAACTTACAAAATTGAATTAAACACCAAAAAAATTATATTTAAATTATTACATAACATAAACTGTAAAATCAAACACCAATTAAGATTTAGTATGTAACAACCTAATTACTTGTCATTCATGAGATTATTTTACTTGACTACTACGAATTCTTTCTCAGAAAAACAACCACCCTTTACTTTAAATATTATGTTCAGTTTACACTGAATTGGTCATTAATGTCACTCCGTAGACGTCAGATCACAAAATAATCAACATAAATTATTGATTGGTGGTATTTTCGTAAATAAGTTCGGCATATAGATGTCGATTAGGGGGTCCTCGACGTCTCTAATATTATAGACGTCGGTGTCCCTCCTAACATACGTTTATATGTTTGACAGGTAGATGAAAAGTTCTTTTTTTCGCCATATAGACGTCTGATACCGCCATCCCCGACGTCTATATACGATTATCGACGTTGGCCCCCTGAAACAGACGTCTATATGCCTGTATATGCTTGACAGGTAGGTGAAAAGTTATTTTTTCCGCCATATGGACGTCTGATCCCGCCATCCGACGTCTAAATGTCCTGACAGGGTAGGTGAAGAGTTGTTTTGGACGTCGGCTCCCCTTACGTTCGACGTCTATATACACCACGAATATTAATATTTAAATCGAATGGACGTCATATTAGTGAGAAATCGAACATGCGGTTACAGGTACTTCATCGAACCGCGAATAGACGTCGATGCCTTATTGTGCCCGACGTCTGGTTTCCTGTTAAATCAGAAATCGAACCTGCGGTTACAGGTACTTCATCGTCTTCCTTCTCGCCTTTTATCTCCGCGACATTACATTTCCAAGTGCGTTTTGTCTCTTTTGAACCGTTTAAGCTTACGTTTACTCCGATTAAATTAGTCTTTGATGGATTATCTTCCATTTGAACCGATTAAAATGAGTTTTCATTGTGTTTTGGTGCAATTTTTCTCGTGTCTTTGGGGAGCGTAGTAACACCTTCTCCCCTCCTTAGTTTCCTCGTAAGGAAAGCTTGTGTCTTTTGGATGTCTTATATAGCATTTCAACCCAAAACCGAACCTGGGTCTTTGCCTAACTCTCATGTCACCGTATTCGTTTTCATTTCCGGTTGGAATGGAACTAGGTAAGGACCCAGATTCGATTTTCGGTTGAAATGCCATAAGAGGTCCAAAAGACGCAAGTTTTTCTTATAAGGA